ACATTTGTGATTTCCAGTCAAGACTTGAACCCAGGTTTCTAGAGATGACATAGTAGTGAACTGTTGCATTGCACAAAACATATCTTTTGTCCCCTCATTCACTGTGCAGTACCACTGTAGGGGGGATCCCTTTAAGCACTGATATCTGAACTTAGTGTCTGTATGCTATCTAGTGCTGCTGCCACAGCTCTCCAACATGCCTGACACCAATGTGTGTCTGTGTTGAAGCCTCAGACCAAAGACTCTCACCTCCGCTCCCCAAGGTCCTACTACATCAGTACATGTGGGAGCAGAAGCAGCAGTTTCAGGGTAACCTTTCAATTTCCAGTTCTTTGGCACAAAGAAGCTTGGCTCCCTAATGTCACAGGCCGTCTGGAGAGCCCTGGGCTCCCCCAATCCCCTGACCATTTTCAACCCTAGGCTCCCTCAGCATCTCCTCCCGAGGTGTACCATGCAGCAGCTCTTCCAGGAGACAGGGAGAGATACAAGGGTATTCAAAATGCATGGAGTAAATCTGTGCACAACAGCCTGTTTGGGGGTGGGGCACCAAGGATGAGCCAGAGTTGGATATGGTAGTCGAGTTCCCCTTGCCTTGCTGGAGCAGAGCTCCTTCTCACGACCCCCTGTTTTCCCTTGCTTACCTCCGATATAGCCCTGCTTCCACTCTACCAACTTCAGGTCCAAAAAGCACACCACCAGTGGGGGGGTTATAGGTGACAACTAGGAGCATGTGGTGAGATGTTTGGGGTTTTTTTCATATTGAAGCAGGTTTGTTGGGATTTCCTCTGAGACCTTTTCCACTTGGCTTAGCCAGAGCACCATGTCCAATACTGAGAAAATACTTGATCCAGTTCTCTGGGATCCAAAAACTCAATTTGACTCTGGATTTCATCACTCAGGTTCCTTTATTTGGCAATGGCATACAGCAAAGCTACACTGAACTGATTAGACTCAAGCGTTAGGGGATTAGATATGTGTACCGCTCATCCAAAGTTACACAGATAACGTCTTCCTTTATATACATTTACACATTACATTGCATTTGCTGTACATTAATTCACACATTATTGGATTGGTTACTTGGCAAGAACCAATCCCTGTATAGCATGTTCTGTCCATGTACTGTGTCCTGGAAACTGATCTTAAACCTGGAATGTAATCTTGTCCATTGTTACTACCATCAAGATGCTGCTGCTTATCTTTGCTTGCACAAACATCCTGACTCCCGGCATACTGTTTGTCAAGTCCCTATTTACAACTTAACCTTTCATTCACTTTCCCAGTTATGCTAGGCTGACCAGATAGCAAGTGTCAAAAATTGGGACAGGAGGTAGGGGGTAATAGGTGCCTATGTGAGAAAAAGACCCAAAAATCGGGACTGTCCCTGTAAAATTGGGACATCTGGTCACCCTAAATTATGCTCACTAAGAAATGAGGCAAGTTCCTTATGTCAAGCCAGGCCTATAACGTTCTCTTGGAGTATTTGGGTGGCCTGATCTATGATGCAAGCTACTTCTCTGGTGGAGTTTCCTTATTTGGTGAATACAATCTTAAGTGTTAAGATGTGGAATCCATCTGGGGTATCATTAAAGAACTATAACCCCAACTCAATGGAGACCCCATTCTGAAAGAAAATCTTTCCCAAATCCCCCTTATCTGATCTTTTAACAACCCCTAAACCTCACCAAGCTCATCATGAGAAGCAAGCTCCCCACAGACCAGGACCCACCAACTCAAAACAGCACTAGACCCTGCCAGAACAACAGACGCAAAACCTGCAGACATACCTCTGCCGCTACTGTGATCAATAACCCCCCACTTTCAAGACCTATTTGCCCTATGAATGCCCATCACAATATGTGGCGTAACTCATCCAGTACACGTAGGGCCGGATTAACTTTTTGTGGGCCCAGTGCCAAACATATTTGTGGGCCCCCGTGTGGTTGTGATGGGCCCCTTCCAAGTGTGGGCCCGGCATGACAGCACCATTGATGCCATAGTAAATGTGGTATTGCTGGGATGGGGATGAAAACATTTATTTGAAAAACAAAATAAGATATTTGAAGCCACACTGCGACCTCCACTCAGCCTGCAGAGAACAAACTGGGTTAACATCAATGTACCCAGAATACCACTGAATTTGGTTTGTGTGGGATGGGGGTTGTTTGTTAGTTTTGTCTTTTTCCTTTAAACACTCAGGGCCTGCTTGGGGCCCTGAACACAAGTGCTTAATGAGCACACTTATGAGCCATATTAAGCCTGGATGTAGCAGTCAGTGGTGTCGCACCTCCATATCCCCACCACCACCTCCTCCACCCAAAGTTATGTTTCGTAAATACATTTTTTGAAAGTTGCATTTTCTACTTTGGTACAATAATGTTTACAAAACTTTGGGGAGGAAAATTGCTGGTGCCCATCTTTTGCAGGGAGAAAGGGCCACTGAGAGAAAACACACTTTAGCACAAAGGCTACCACAATCCAGGCTCAAGCTCCTACCCCAATCTTCACACCTGGGCTCTCCCCCCCCCATCCCTCCTACTGTCCCCATCCCACACAACTAACCCCCTAACAAAGGCTCTCCTCAATCTCCCTGCTACTGCCCACCCCCTCACACACTTTCACCCCAGGGCTGTCATCTCCCTCCCTTCTACTACCCCCCCCCCCACAAACACTGAGCCAACCCACACCTTAACATCCTGCTTCTCCTACACCCCCCCACATGGAGTCACTGCCAGCTCCACCCTCACACCCCGACTTGCCCCACAACTGCCTCTTTCCCTCAACACTGGGCTGTGCCCCCTCCCCAGAGTGCAGGGGGGCAATTTCTGGGCATTTCCACTGGCAGGGGATGTGCCAGCCAGCACTGACAAGCCCTGCTGTCACTGCCCACCCTGCTCCCAGGGACCACAGACAACCAACCCCCACCCTGAAGTGCAGGGTCGAGACAGTGCCCAGGAGGCCCCAGGCATCACATTCGCTGGGGGGCTGCCCCCAGCTCCCCGCCACCCCAGGAGAGTGGGGGAGACTCGGGGAGGGGAGGAGTGCAGCGGGGTTAGCACCGGGAACCCTCTCCCTGCACCAGACCATTTCCTTGTTTGGGATTTTTTTTTGGTCCCCTCCGACACTTCAGCTGGGGTGGCTAGTAGCATGGCATGGGGCATTCTGGGACTAGTAGTGTAGCTGGCAGCGCAGGTCCCAGGGCCCCAGTGGAACACAGTGGCATGCAAACTACAACTCCCAGCACACCCTGGAACAGACAGTCCCTTTTGCACCTCTGCACTGCACTCCCCAGGCTGCTTAGTGTTTCATCTGGCACACAGAAGTTGCTGACTCTTCACATTGCTGGGCTGTGGCCCGGCTGGATTAACCCTTTGTGGGCCCCTGGGCCTGGCGCCACCAGAGCCAGTGTAAACCCAGTAGTGCGTACACTAAATGCCCCAAGAACAACTGTGTGGATGAAACGAAAAAATCACTACACTCTGACAGAAAAACGATAAAAGACAAAAACACCATATCACCTGTTGGTGAACACTTCACTGAATGATCATTCCATGTGTGACCTCTGTCATCATCCTCAGAGGAAACCTGCACAACACCTTCAAAAGACAGGCCTGGAAGCTTAAATTCGTAGCGTTGCTAGACACTAAAAATCACAGACTCAAAAACAGTGGATTTATGGCTTATTACAACAATCTGTAACCTATTAACCCTCTGTCCTGTGACTGTGGAGGTGTTAACCACCCACTTCACCTTGAACGGTTTCTTGTAACGTGTTAACACTTTATGCTGAACAATCTATTTCACCTTGTCTTTCGCTGTGACACTGAGTACCTTTCCCTGACCTGAAGAAGAGCGCTGTATAAGCTCTAAGATTCTCTCTCTCACCAACAGAAGTTGGTCCAATAAAAGATTCTATCTCACCCATCTTATCTTTGTTACCTTCATAGTTTGCAGACAGGTATCAAGGTTAATACATAATTATTTGTCTTTAAAAACAGGGTAATTCCTACACTTCATGGGGGTTTGTTTTGTGTTTAGGTTGGTAAAGTACATATCCCAATCATGGAAACCATAAAAACCAAGGAAATAAGCAGTTAAGTCTTTGAACATAAGAACAGCCATACTGGGTCAGACCAAAGGTCCATCTAGCCCAGTATCTTGTCTTCCAACCGTGGCCACTGCCAGGTGCCACAGAGGGAATGAACAGAACAGATAATCATCAAGTGATCCATCCCCCTGTCACCCATTCCCAGCTTCTGGCAAGCAGAGACTAGGGACACCATCCCTGCCCATCCTGGCTAATAGCCACTGATGGACCGATCCTACATGAACTTACCTAGTTGAACACTCCATCTATGCTCAACTCCTTAGTTCCCCTTTACAACCTTGATTGCTTCTCTTCCACTACTCATCTCTAGCACGTTTCCTGAACAACCTGTGAGCAGTCTTAACTGACTGTTCTTATTGCTTAAAAAGTAATCTGTTTTGATGACTGATATCAGGATGGTGTGGTTTTCATAAATCATATGTACAAAAGAACTGTATGTGGCTTTGTATTAGTGTGTGTAAGCGAGGCCTGGAATAAAATTGCAAATGGTGGTTCAGATGTATTTTTATTATGTGAATGGATGATCTGTGTTGGCAATCTAAATTAAGTAGTTTTTGTGTAGAAACTTGCATTTGTGATTTGGCATATTAGTTATGCTCAGAGTTGTGGTTGAGGGTGCAAATATGTGGGGAGGATGGTAGCTAATGTACAGGGGAATTGAGTATAGATGGATTGTTGAACAACTGTTTATTTCCTCACCTTCTGTGGTTTACATTTATAGATATGCAGTCTAGCAATGGTAACTTTACATTCAGTTTTATTTTATCAGTCTAGGGAGAGTTAACTGTAGTCTGATCGCTATATTACATTAGATAAGTGTACTCTTAACCAAGCCTGTAAGAATTTGTTTAGAAAAGCAACTTTTCAATTGCTTTAACTTTGACTGTTCTAGGGAAAACAGAATGAAGGAAATCATGTCTAATAACAACACAACCAATATATCTCAAGCAAGAAAAGCTGTGGAGCAGTTAAAAATGGAAGCATACATGGACAGGATAAAGGTAAATTGAGTCAATTGTTCTGAAATTGCCCTTTACTTTTGTGTCGTAAAATTTCACCTTTGGTACTTCAGAAAATCCTTATCGGAGTACTTTGCAATGTGATATATGAAATAATGTTCAAAGAATGATAACATGAAAAAACAATGATGTATAATTGATTCTGTCTGACTTTAAGCAGGGTACTTCTCAAAGGACTGATGCCCAGCCTACTTCTTTTTTTTTCTTTCTTTTTTTTTTTTGTGGGCACAGTGTACATCAGCAAATAATAACAGGTAAAATAGAAGTACTTGCATCTCTAACTACCTGGTCTGCACCCACAGTCAGGTGGTTTGAGGCACAGGTACTTAGATTTGCTCCTGCAGTTAAATGTAGATGCATTGTCCTAACCCGGCAGGAAGAAAGAAAGATTCAAGGGATGTGGGTTAATTAGGCCACAATTTTATTAACTCATCTGGGAAATATTCATCAATAAATCATATAGTGTACATCGTCATTCTTTCCTTAATCATTCCCACCTATTTGGAAGGGCTGTCATCAGCTCTACGCAAACTGCACATTGCTGGGACCCCACCATCCTCCCCTCTATGAGGGTGAAAGGAGGTGGGGAGGTCGTCTCATTGCTGTACCAGACGTTAGGAATGCCAACTCCCTTCCCCCAGATTCCCAACTCCAATTTATCAGGGAACTGGACCCCTTATGGAATGATGACCTGCACTGGATAGCTGTTAAGATGCAAGAACTTGACCTACCCTCATTAAATACCCCACTGGGGCCCTGAACTGCTGTAAGGAAGGCAAAAAAAAACATCTTGCCCCAGCCAATCTGCCAGTGAGTGAAAAATTCCTTCTCAGCCCCAAAAGAAAAAGGCAACTAGAGCAATGCCCAAAGCTGATCATAAAACTCAGACCTACTTTGATCCCATGGGTGGGGAGGGTGAGTGCTCCTTGTCCATGGTGAGAGAGATTATTTCTGGAGAGAACCGTCTATAAATACCTTCCCTCCTACAATACACAAGATGGTTGGCATCCCACCTGAGTCAGCCTCATCCAGTTGCCCTTGGCTCAGGAAACTGTCTTCTTTGCACTCCCTCGTAATCAGTGTGGGGGAACCTTAAAGGAGCCACAAGCCCTTTTCTTCCTGATGGCAAGACAAAGCCCAACAGCATTTGGGTTGAGGTGAAAGCGGTTTCTGCAGTTGCAGATTGCACCAATAGTGAAGGAGGCTGCCCTTTAGAACATTTTGGCCGTTAGCATTTGCATCACTCTTCTAAATCACTGTTCTGTCACTCTGTGTTACCACTGAACATAGATGAAACACAAAATACACAATCAATTTCACCTTTATTTTGTTCAGCAGAGTTGTCATTGCCCTGGGGAATTAAGCTGAATGATGCAATATTTCATTTTGGCTTCTCCAGATTTGTCTGCATCTGATATTTGAGGACATCTTTTTGTGGGTAAAATATTACACCTTTAACTGTATTTGTTAAGCATGTGGGGTGAAGAGATTATATTGGTTAGAGAAATTTTCATAATTTTTTAGCTGAAAAGTGTAGAATTATTACTCTTCATTTCTCCCTATGTCTTCCATTAGGCCAAGATTTTAAAAGGTGACAAGTTGGGCACGCAGAATCACTAGTCACTTTAGAAGGGCCTGGTTTTTCAAGCACTCTGAAAATCAGCTTCCTTTTAAGATGTCATGTTGCACACACAGTCACTAATCACTATGTCTGAAAATCATATCCTTCAGTAAATAAAGGATGAGGGGGAAGAGGGAGTGTTTTTAAGCAAGTCCACTTCAGTTTAATTAAATTTTCCTCCAACCAACCGTTTTACAAATTTCATCATAAATTTCATGCGTTACTCATATTTCTCATGTGCAAGAGTACAATAAATGTTTCCATTGCAAGAAGTTAATTTTAATAGGCTTTAATTTCTTAAATATGCAACCTGCACTTGAATAGAATATTTAAAAATAATCCATTGGGTAAATGAGGTTACTTTTTCTGTTTAGTTATTGCGTAGCATGATCTAGAATAATCTTAGTATTGCTAGCTTGTAAGTTTCCTACAATCAGCAATATTTATTTACCCTTCACATGGAATGGTGATACTTGGAAAATATTTGTATATACATATTTTCCCTATTTTCTTTAAAGACCGAAAGCAAATGCTTAATTCTAGCTCCCATTCCAAAAATATTTACAGAGATGTTAAAGATGTTGTTTCTTACTAACTGATATGCGTTATAAAGAAGATTGTTATCAATTATTCTTCATGTCCACTATAGGTAGGACAAGAAGTAATTGGCATAATCTGCAGCAAAGGAGATGTTAGGTTAGGTATTAGGAAAAACTTTCTAACTGCAAGGGTAGTTAAGCTCTGGAATAGGCTTCCAAGAGAGGTTGTAGAATCCCCATCACTGGAGGTTTTAAGAACAGCTTGGACAAACACGAGTCAAGAATGGTCTAGGTTTACTTGATCCTGCCTCAGTGGCCCACCATAATTTAGACATCCCTGTGGAGCTAAATTATTACATCCTTCTGAGGCTGCCGTATAGGTTGCAATGCTGTCTGGAATCCTAGCTGCAGGACCACCTTTGATGCACCTTTCACACCTCCTTTGCCAGTGCTTGCAAGGGAATTCTTAGATGGCTGCCTCACAGCTGTCTTCCTCAGTTTCTGTTTTAAGTTGCTCCGCCCCCTTACCTGACATACAGGGGATGGTGTCAGAGTGAGAATCTCACCCATAGTTTTTACCCACTCTGTCCCCCAAATAGTACAATGAATTTACTGCAGGACTAGATGGAAGGAGGACAGCAGCCAAGCTGTTGTTCAAATACACATTTGAAATAATTGCAAAATGAATACAAGGAAATCACATTTTGTATTTTAAAAAACAGAATAAAACCTACTACCCTAGAATTTATACCATTCTCAAATGTTGTGATTAAGAAGCTGAAAAGTTCTTGTTTAATTTTCTAAATTGCTACATTTAATCTGTAAGTCTTCAAAGCACTCATTTAAAAGTTACAGTATCTTTGGATGTGATAACCTCCCCAGAATTAAAGTGACACTCCAACATATTACAGTAAAAAAAAGTTAAAAGACAGTTATTAAATTATAAAGCCAAGCACTGTTAGATAATGCCAGTTACAAGATTACACATGCAACCTTAACTTGACCTCCTTGTGAATCCATCCTATGCACTAAATGAGGCAGGGTACCTGAGGGAGAAAAAATATGTGATTGTGTATTTAAAAACTGCATCATGTACATGTATGTAGTATTTTCTTTCTAATTCAATGTCATACAGGCATTTTCGTAATCCTGAGTGAATAAAGGCACTCTTGCTTTTAGGTGAATAGTCAGAATATCAATTATCACTGGTGCTTTTATCTAAATCTATTCACCAATAATTGGAAACTGCTTATGCAAAGTTCCATTGAAAACTATATAAACACAGCTTTAAGTATTTCACCTCTTTATTACATGATGATGAAATTGTCATGTATACATGTACATTCATATTTGCATTTCATTCAGTGAAAATCTGTTTGTTCTCATGTATCTGCACTAAGATCCCCGTTTTTCAAAAACTCAGTTTTCAGTTGGCTTTTTTCCCCTCAAACCTAATTTCATTTACTAGGCCTTATCTTAAAACAGCTGGTACAGCACCAAACTACAGCCTAGCTATTGATAAGGACTTGTTCAGGGAATGTAGTAGAGACAACTTAATGTGTAGAAGTACAAAGTAATGCTTTGTAACTAAATATAAAACAACAAAGGCAGAAGGGAAATGAGACTTTTTTGTTGTCAGTTTAATTATGGACAGCTGAGGCAGGCTTAAGGCCCGGATAGCTTAAAAGCCCAATTATTTGTTCTCCAAATGCATTTTGGTACCTGATCTAAGGTCAAACTAAACAGAAATTTGTATCATAGCAGTTTATAAGGTGCTGAAAAACCAGTGGCTCCAGGGCTTTCATGGCAACTGTATAAGCATAGTAGCCTAAAAGTGACTTGCAAAGGATAAAACAGTTGAGTTTATGCCTTATTTTTATGATCAAAGAAAACTTGAAAAGGGATGTTAAGAGGTTTTTTCTGCCTGCTTTTTTTTATTTTTTAACCTTAGAAATAACAGATATAACAAATCTGGTCTATCCTGTGTTTACTGAAAGACTCATTGGTAATCTCAAGATGTGAATTTAGAGCTCTTGCAGATCTTAACTGAAGAGGTAGGAGTGCTGAATGTTAAAGATGTCCTTTTCCCCAAGTGTTTCTTAACTATTTAAGTTAAATAGACATTAACAAAAAACAAGTGGTTTTTAAATAGTTTGAATAAAAATAGCTTCACTACCCGATCAGTCTTCCAGAGTAGATAAGACCTGAATTTCTAATGACAAGAAAAAAAGGAAGGAAAATGTTTTTCTTAAAATAAACTTTCTAGGCCACCTTCATACATCATAAAGAAACAAAAAGGACTCCATTGCACATCACCTTGTCTGTGGCTGCCTCACATGCAGTAACCAGCAGAGGTTATGTGAGCCTGCTCATATCAAAGATTTGTGGTCCTACAAGTTGCATTTGGAGGTGCCAATACTTCATTGCAGATTAAATTGTTTATAACTGACTAGAAAGCAAGCACCGTGGACCATCAGAGAAGGAAGCAGTGACAATGCACTGAAGTCCAACAAGGAAGCTCATTAAAGAGAGGGAGAGATACGACTTCTACTAGTCATAAAAGCTGGAAGCATCAATACTGGTACGTGTACCAGTGTCTGGGGGGAATGCTGTTGTTGATGGCTTATGATAAGCCTAAAGAATGAGTTACAGTAGAAGAATAGTAAACTGAGTTTGGTGTCTTCTGACTACAGAAGGTGAGGATCGATCCCACAGCATGGAATCAGGATGCTGATATAGGTAATGGCTCCTACCTAGGAGACACATCAAGAACAACTACTGGTGTCTATGAAAGATGCTGATTCCTGCTAACCAGGAAGGTC